GTGGTAAAATTATAAATCTGAGACCCATGGCATGAAAAAGCATTGGCAACAACACTAAAATGGAGAGACCTGTTGCGATTGAGCGTTAAGTCTCAATAAGCTACCAAACAGGTTTTGCAAGTTTGACTTGCTCGTACGGTGGAAAACTAATCGCAACGTTAGCTCATATACGATTACAATGCTTCGATGTGGTTGTACATTTAGCCATCATTGTCGGACTATATGCTATATATACACTTTTCCATCTTAAATGTGTTAGAACAAGGAGGTCAAGCTCTTGGTGATAAAGACTCTTGCATTGTGCTTACCACCAGCATTGTGTATACCAGAATTACCCAGCGTAGCCAAGTGTCTTATATCATATCCGGTTTTGTTGGCTAATGTAAGATGAGACTGCCGGCAAAGTTATGGGCAACAACTAAAACATTCCCGCCAAAATTCACCAGCCCGTGTCCGTCTGTCGTGGACAGTGTTCTCGTCTGGTCTCGTCGAAACTTGGCCCAAAAAAAGACAATCAATAGCACGTGACATCAAGGGTGTTAAAATAAGACTGTTTTTCAGATTACATACTGCAATGACTTGACAGAAGGGCACACTGGCACTGATTACTCTGCCTCGCAATAATGCCATTCCGTTAGTCAATAGCTGACATAAAATGGTACAAAACTGAGGCAAACTGGACGTAGCAAAATCGAGTCGTTTTCGATAGTTATCACACAGTAGCTACTAGCTAGCAGATCTGTGGCACGTTATTCTAATGGCGGTTCGCATCGGAGTCCCTGAATTTTCCCAGGGACATGTTTTACGTAGTGTGGGTGTAGAAATTTGTACATTTGTATATAGATAAACATGTTTACGGAGTTGACTTTCTCTCTATCGGGTGATTTCATATGCAAGGGAATGGGTCCCGATAAAACGCTGGCTTATTTCTTCGTATCATTTGACTCATTCCCGAAGAGTTACGTGAGCAAGATGGTTAACAGCACGAGCACTGTGCTACATACGCCTGCATGGGAACGGTATAGTATAGCCCCGCCCCCTCGAAAAAAAGCTCACACGTAGAAGTGTACAAAATCAATCATATACGAAATCAAAATCATGCATAGCAGAAGAATTACGAACTCTCATCCATTCATAGGAATGAAAAAAAAAATGTAGATATGAAAAAAAAAATCTAGATACAACTGTACATGTACCTTCGGTTTTATAGTCAAGGATGATGGCCGATCTAAATCTGTTTGATTGGAAAATATTTTGCCGTTACGGATAGATCTAAATTGACTTTGTTATGTTACCGTTTGATCTGCTTTGTTGTCAATGTTCTTTTCATATAAGAGAGACCAAGACTTTGCCTGGGTACCATCCTGGTTACTTAGTTTACGTCCGCCCCAACAGTCACTAGCGTGCGTAGTCCAGTGGTTAGCGATCCTGCCTCTGGACTAAGAGGTTGGGAGTTCGAATCCCGGCTGATGTCGCTCACCCGACATGCACGCTACTGTTTAGGGTCGCAGTCCTTAGGACGGGACGTTAAACCGTGGTCCACTGTTCATTGTGCTTGTCGAAAAGAGCTAGGGGAATTTCCCCGGTACAATGAACCTGTAAAAACTGTACATAGCGTCTGTCTTCTCTGTCACGACCAGTGGAAGATTAGCTCTTCAATGAGCTAAACTGGTTCGAGATCACTATCACTTTCACTACCGACCAACGACTATCAGCGGGCGTAAACTGACCACTGTACACTGACCAGGATGGTACCCAGGCTAACCAATACTTTCACGCAGGGACAATAGAGCCTAACATCGCAACATGCTAGCCTCCTTCGCAGTCTTGTTGGGCGTCGGCGTTATTTTTTCTCTGAGCGATGAAGTATGTAGGTAATATGCGGCCGAGAGGGACGATTTGCTGCCGAGGGAGTTTTTGCCACGGAGAGAAGGTAGGAGCGCGAAACCTTCTCTCCGTGGCAAAAACTCCGCGATCACAGACTTCAGAGCTGGGGCCAGACTAATCATTAGGAGAAGGCAGTGCTGCAAGTTCTACGCATACAAACGCACGTACTTCTAGACAGTCACACATCTTACATACAATTTCACTGATTGCTTACGTATTGACTGCTTTGACGTCACAATACCCTCCAGGATATCGAACTAGTCAAGACTCTAAAAGAGCCTGTCGACATATTTTGAAGCGTATAACATCGGTTATTATTGTGAATTACTATCAGTATGCGCAGGTATTCCTCAAACACACAGAGAAGAAATCATAACTAAGGACTCATTAACAGGATCATTAATAGTTTATTTCCCCATTCAGTTGTTATAAGAGAATAACTAGGATTATTTTACATTTCTCTCACACTTCCTGTTCATGACGAAAATGACGCAAGTAATGACATTGGCCTGTGCGCTCGTTAACACTTGTTGTCCTTCTTCCTGAATATCAGTGCATAGAAATTGAAGATCGAATTCTATTCAATATTAACTACACATAACAGAGTGGTCCCTGATTTTTATTATCACTCAGTCTACTCATCATACTGGCTTGAACAAGGAGTCTCTTCCGGGGAAACACGGGTAGTGGTCTCAAAATCAAACATATGCGCATTGTAACAAAACATTAAAATCAGTTGGGACGAACAAGGAGGAGGATGATAAGGTATAAAAACGGCAACACTGCTTTCGAAAGGAAAAGTATAACTCGATGCGAGTAAATTATACCGGAGTCTTGCCATGCACATCTTCACGATCCTCCCTGGTTCGTCCCGTGACCGATGATGTAAAACTATTGTACCAAATCGACTACCGTGACGATTACATCAGTTGCCACGCCGGTTCACGATGGATAGGTAACTCCTATTATAAATTTGAAGTCAATTATAAAATCAAATTGCATATCATAGCACCATTCACTTTTTTGGCATCACATTGAGTGGCTCTGTGACAGAGACAGCATAAGTTAGTTGATGGGAATTGCTGTCGTTTACCTTGATAGTTCGTACGTTCTAAAAGAAGTCTGCATAAGGCGGGTAAAACTCTCGTTTAAACCACTGCCATGGCGCATGTACTCGCAAATGCCATGCACTTCCGAACTAACACATTGTCACTCTAAGAGAGTCAATCCTGCGATGAGGGCGAACCCAATGACGGCAGACAGCGTATTTAGTAGATCACTTGTCTTCATTTCTTTGGAAAGAACCTCCATGAAGGTGACGTGTAGCAGCGTTCCCGTGGCCACCCCCTGGAGAATGCCGGTGACGAGCCCACCGGCGTCCGCGTCGGTTACCAGGAGACCGATACCCTGTCCTGCAGGACCTGCCACGCTAAAAACTACGCAGGTCACAACTTTACATGATAACGAGAGGTTACCGGTTGCGACGTTCATCCCCAGACTGAGGGCTAAGATGCTCTTGTGGACGACAACTACGAAGAACAGCGACAGAAGAGAGGATTGTGAGGGCTGGACACCAAGTGCTATACCTTCAAACGCTCCGTGAACGCTTAAAGCAATCAGAAGCAAGAATGTATGCACGTTTCTTCCCGAACTGTCATGTGAGATCACTGAAGTGCCTGCCCTTTGATTGGCTGGTGGATTAATTGTCCTGTAGTCCATAACCTTGGTTTCATCTCTTATCAATGGACGAGTTGCGTCATCCTCCTCGCTGACTGTGCTGTATGATCGTCGCTCCTGACGTACGTCTGGGGGCGTACTTTGACCGTGAGGTAAACACCGGTGTGTCAAACCTTCCACCAGGTGCACGATGAAAAACCCGGCGCACGTCACCAGTTCGGCTATGGGGTAAACCGTAACCACCCCGTATCTGCTCAAGCTGGCCCCAAGGTCCTTTCTCACATCTGGGAGCAAGTGAAGAAAACAGGTAGCGAAGAAAACTCCTCCCACGAAGCTGTTCACATTGCTAAGAAAACGGGAGGCCAATCCGTTGCTTATTGATGACAGCCTGGACGTCCTCCATGCCACAGCCAGCGGGACCAGGGAGAACGCCAAACATGCGACTAAGAAGCCCGATGAGTGTCAGCAGTTGCACGATAACCAGGTCCATCTTGCTGCAGACTACGTAAATAGCACTATCAGTCTATGAAGCCAACGTATCGAGGATTACGTGAGACGAGACGGGTGATATCACAGTCACGGGGCTCTTTATACGTGTATCCGGCGTCGTTCCTTGCCACTTCTCACCGTCACGTGAGGTCTATTATGAGTGCTTGGGTCGTTTATTTTTAAAGAAAGTAGGGCACCAGTCGCTTACTCACTGACCAACTCTTGTCCTATTTGTGTTCCACAAGGTTTACTCATGGTACCTCTGTTGTTGGCACTTGCGCAATGCTCCAGAGCCGTTTCGCGCCAGTTTGTAAAATCGGAAGAATCATTTTGGGGCCGTGTGGAACGGCGGAACATGCCAAAATAGAGCCGTGTGCAAAGCGGTCGGTAAATGAATATTCAACAGCTACTAATGAATATTCAACAGCTGAAAGAGTACTTCCGGGTCAACGAACGTCATTTGCTTTCCTACGACGTACCTGGGCTGAACTGCAGTGTTGTGGATTGCGAAATGTGCAATAAAGTTGGACATTTTCATACACGACTTTTTTTTACGCCAGAAAAGCAACGTCAATGACAACGGTAACTTGATTGTCATTAGGCGAGTAGTGAATGCGTACCCTGTGTGTAACATGCTGTCACTAAAGAAAGCGTCAGAGAGTGATGACAATTCATGCATTAGCTACGCCTTTTGAAAAAGTCATACAACGCAACAATTTGTTATGGTGGCCCTTTTTTACCTTTCTTATCTCTTTTAGCTGATATGTAACGTTAGTGTTAACGTTACAAACTTTACTAATAAATATGTATTCATTATGCTACTGCTCTAGTACTAGTAGCCACAGGAAACAGCTACTGATCATGTTTTAAAACCTTTCTCTCTCAGTCTCTCTCTTTGGTATCTAGACAATTTCTACATCAAGCATTGATCACATGAAGAGACTGAATGTATCAATACTGGTATTTATACCATATAGGACATGTTTTAATAAGTGCTTCAACCAACTTATTGCATCATGTTTGAACTAACTTACTGCAATGGTTTACATTGATCACGAGAAGTTTCCGACCTTGCTTGCCACTTTTCTCATGACAAAATAGCTTTCTTAGGTTCTGCAATAAAAGAATCATAACAGACTTTTCTTATAAAATGACATGATTTGTTGGTATGCATTGAAGAAGAATTAAGAACTACTGATGTTGCTATTAAAGCCTTCAGTTATTGACTGTTATATATTGTGTGTTTCTCAGTAGTTGACGACACTGCAGCTGGGTGCTGTTTATGCTTTTCCTGAGTCATATCACTTCGTTGAGGGGAGAAGAAGGAACGAATTGAGCTTGGTTCTGATGTGGCAGCAGGGGACACAGAAACCTGAAAGTGGAACATATACTTTTAGTAAAAAAAAAACCCCAACATGTCAAGAATGTGAACAGCTTAAGAAAGAAAATCATGAGCAGTTGCATCGTGTTTCAGTAATGACATACCTTATCTTTCGGAGGACTACTTGCTGTACTTTTCACACTGATTTTCCTCTTTTTAATAGCCGATCCTCTCTTTTCTTCCTTTACACCCTCTTTTCTCTTTTGCAAGCTGAGCTGTAGAAGCCAGTTTTGTCTTTGACCCTGCTGTCCATTTTCCTTGTCGGAGTCTGTGCGTGTCAGGCTTGGTACCCTTGTATAGAAGCCATCCACAACGTAGTTTGGAAGGTTTGCCGTTGGTGAGTCAAACTGCTTCAGAACATCCTGCATTTCTGATAACTCTGTAGTAGTCTGGTTTGAGTTTTTAATTGTGCATTCTTTCTCCTCAGAGATAAATTCTGTCAAAAGCTTTCTCTGGCAGGTGCTCGGGCTGTCACTACTCTTTTCTGCTCTTCCCTTTGTCACCAATCCCTGGACTCCATTACTTCCTCTGCTGTCTTTTCCACCTTTATTTTCTAAAGAAGTGTTTTTCACGGGAGACAAAGCATGTCTTTGCTCTTTATCTATCTCCCCATCAGAAAGTCTAGCATCTTCAACATTGATCTGCTTGGTTCTGTTCTCCTTTGCATCTGTCTGTTTTGAACATTTAGCAGACATCAGCCATTGAGTGATGGCAGGCTGTGGCCTAGATACCTTTGCAGGGTCAGAATTTCCAGATGTTTTGGATTGTTCATTTGCTGGTGTTGGCAGGCCTGCCGTAGCCACAGCTTCAGTGTTAGGGGATGCACCTGCTGCATGTTTAGGAGAGGCAGCATTGGCAGTGGGACCCTTGTTGGACACAGTTGTAGCCATTCTTGGGCTTCCTATTCCAACAGTCCTGATGCCGCTGTCCAATGTCTCAGATTTCCAGGTGCCTGTAAAAAGCAGAGGAGTGGTTAGACTGATGCGATCAGAGCCCTAGGATGTATGACAATGGGGGATAGTAATAATGGCTACCCATCAATGCTAGCAGCCAACAGGTAGGAGAATGGCATGTCTTCTACAGAGAAAACCACCATGTGTTTCATATTGGTGATAGAGCCCAACACAAATCTGCTGGAACATGGTCTTTCAAGACATGTCATTATAATGTTCCCAAAATCTCATGTTCATGATTGCATTCAGGACTACCATTATTGTTACATGTACATATTGTGACATGTTACAGCTTTGTCTGTGGATATTTTTTGTAACTAGCAATTTAGGAAAAGAAAGGATTTACAGTTGCCAAGCAACAACAACAACAACATTGCATAGAACAAACATGTTCAATCAATTAATCAATAAATCAAACAAAACAGACAAACCTTACATTAAAAATGACATAATTTGATAAGTGGAAGTGGGATTAATAAAAAAACAACTACAGGGGAACAACCATTCTTGTACATGTGTACCATGATTTGGTCTGTGCTACGACATCTGACAATGATATCTCTCTACAGTTTCCTACCTGCAGACTTCTGTGGTGTCCTGACAACTCTCTGTACGTCTCCTACAACATCATTGGGATCCCGTTCTTTATCTGTCGGAGGCTGGTGTCTCCAGACTCTCATGGTGTTGTCATCAGAACATGTGATCAGCTGAAGGAAAAATTCAACAAATAAGTCAAAGATAATGACCTATTGAGAAAAACTGCAGAAATAATCTTATGATGAAATGGCAAATACATACCACCCCACAAAGCAACATATAAACTGAAAGGTTTGGGGTCCTTTGATGCCATTGGGGACTATTTTAAAGGTAGTAAGTTCTGCAATGTTACCTTAGTAAAGTCATCCTGACACCACGCCACAGCTGTCACTTCCCCACTGTGACCTGTCAACTTCCATGGGCATGCCTCGGGGTCATTGACCTGTAGACAGTTAACAGGTTAGTGAAACCGAACACTGGTAAGAAAAATTGGGCCGCAAATCTGAAGCAACTAAATATATCAACAGATTCCAAGCTACCAGTGGTTTCCCCTTTCACCCTGTAATGGTACTGGTACTGAAAGAGCGTGTACCACGAGCATATCATTGAATCTCCCTAAGAAATGTAGTTAAGAATGCAATAAAAGTGGCAATGTATGGTTGGTGTCTGTGATATAACAGGACCTGGCAGAAAGTCATGAGTAAATACGTTTAAGGCCAACAATTTTTCCATCGCTTCAGCTTTACGTTGGTCAGTTTATCATTTATCAAGGAATGCAAGGCTTCATTTTATACATTAAAGCCTGTTATAGCCTGTTACTGCACTGTTATAGATGTTGTACAGGCAGATATGTTGTTGGAAGTGTTTGTCATTCAGATCACATACGCTACCTGAGGTAAAGTGACGCTATCACATGGAAGTCTAACCTGTGCGTACTAATGAACACTTCCCTCTTACTGATAACGAGTGGCTTCTCAGTGTCTCCCATCAATCTGTGGAGGTTTTCAATCATAATGTCCTGTATATCATACAGAGGTGATCATGGCTTACAAATTATGACTAAGTCGATCCAATCTCCAAGGGATTTGCATCTGAGGGATTGGTGCAGCTGAAGCACTAATAAATTGAAGACGTGCATCCTTTCTCCATTGCAATCATGCATGACATCCTGCAGCATATTTGCATATTGCACACATGACTCTTACGTGTCAGCTTGGTACACTTTAACAACAACAAGGCCAATTTTTGGGGAGCAGTAAGATAAAATTGGAACATATTTTTCAACATATACGAAAGTGATGGGTAAGATAAAAGTCAACTGTGATGCTGGGTGAATTGGGTCGAACCCAAGCATCACTTTTTCAGGGAATTCGGGGCAGTCTGATATGATCCTCTTGTTGGGATAAAGTGTTCTTGTTGCTGTACATTATACAAATTCAAGCAGTAGTGATTGATTCCCCTTGTAGACTGCTTGGGATAATGTCATGGGAAAGACAAAAAAATTACCTTCCAAATGTAGGCACTGTTATCACTGGAGCCACTGATCAGGTATTCTTCGCAAGGGCTCAGGGCACATCTCACATAGAAGCTGGAGCAGGTGTGTCCTGTGAATGTTGCCACTGCAGGGGAAGTTTGTTTGTAATCATGACTTAATGAAGGTTAGACCAGAATATCAAAGAATTGTAGTGTTTAAACATATAATAATGAGTCTACATACTATGAAAAATCATGTGAAGAGGAAACCATGCAAACACAAGATGGTTGTTTCCACCAGTTTACTATCAGTGTAACCACTGATTTTGTATTTGTATTTGTATTGATTATAAATAAAAATGACTCATTATACTGGGTCAGCCAAGGCAGCTCACGCTGGTAACAGCTGATCCATGAGAATACAGACAAACGTACAGCTGATACCTGAGGAACATCTAAATCTTGGCTATCACAGCTGAGCAGACAACAACCATTCATGGCAAGGTGCGTGCTGAGATCTGACATATGGTACCTACCAGGCTGGGTTTCCATGCTGTGACAGTTGTACATGTAGACTGTACTGTCTGTACAACTGGCAAACAGTCTTGTACCTGCTGAATCCACAACTAGGGAGGAGAAACCTGCAAATAAAGAGAAAGGCTCACACTCAATAAAACTCTTAAACTGGGTAGTACATGTACAATGCTTGGTAACAAATCCTTAGGTCAACCTTCCTATTTTAAGTATTGGGTGCTTACTTTAACTACACTTTGCTGTCACAAGATTCTGTAGAAAGTTAGTTTCACATCCCACAGGTGTCATGCAATACCAAGAATGCATTGACAATCTACAATATTTTACAGAATCTTATGAAGATCAACTGACCTCTCCTCCGGACACGTGTTCCTGGATACTGGAAGCTGTGTTTGGGGATGGGTGTGCACTGGTAGGCCGTGTAGTTCTTCCTCATGTCCCACAGCTTGATGGTACTGCATGGGCAGGATGCATACTTAGTTTTACTCTATTTTGGATTGTTCATATAATATGTGCACTAAATATAAATGAATCTCTTCATGTCGCATATATCTTAAGGGGTTGGTGTAAGACTATCATTATTTGCCAGAAGAAAACTAATCAGCCAATTTCTAATATCACTTAATCACTCATCACGTAATGTATCTTGAAATAAAATCTGCATGCAACATCTTAATTTGCAAGTGACACAGTATGCCTTACTGTTCTATTTCTAACACAAGTGATTTTTATCTGTGCCCCAATTATTAGGGTTTGACTTTCGAGATGTAATTTCAATGGAAAATCAAAGATGAAGAGTCGTCTTTCCTTTGCATGAAGGCATGTCCCAGAACAATGGTCACTGGACCAAAGACTGCAAAGAAAATGAATATGTGGTTGCTGGCAACTCACCCGTCCACACTGCCTGCTGAGACTATCGTGTTTTCATCCTGGTACACCACACAGGTCACACTCTGTTGGGAATCTTGCTGCTGTGGGGAGAGGACAGTTGCCAAATTATTCATGTACCTTTGACATTATTCAGAAGTCAACTTGCTTTACCTTCGGTAATAAAATTTCTGGAAATAAACCATTTAATCAGTGTCGAACAGGAAACATTTTTTAAGCTAACAGAATACAAGATACTTACAGGGTTGGACGTAGCAGCATCAACCTTTCTCTTCTTTTTGGGACGTGGTGTGGATGGCATCCGTAGTGTGTGAGCATTGCGGATGGAATTCACTGGTCTGTAGTACCCATCTACATACAAAAGGTAAAGATGCTAGGTAATTATACCATGTACAATAAGGAAACAAGAAGATACATGCACCTGGTAAATAGATACAGAGCAAGGAGTTCAAACATGTTTGGTATATGAACTCATTGCACTTTCACACCAGTATACTTGTAGACTTTGAACAGTGTTAATTGGAACTGCAAACCAAAAACAAACTGCTTTGACTTTGACAAGCAGAAGTTTGTGGAGAGCTCACCGTTATGATTGCATCTCCCATCCCAAACCAAGATATTCCCATCTCTGGCTCCTGTGCAGAAAACCCCTGCAAAGATAAATGTGTAGAAGTACAAAATATAAGGAGTGACACAACTTGTCAAGTGATGGGAAGAGCAGATAAATACACACCATGTTATTAGATGGTTAACTTGAAGTTCAACAGGTGATGAATCTAATGAATAGATAGAAAGTTCTATAGATAGTGCAAGGGGCAGAGAATTACATGCCTCAATCATTAAGCTGTGAAAAGGAATTAACAAAATTGACTACCCAACAACTATGCAAAGTGACAAGTAAACATAAGAGTATCAAATGAAAAGTATTGAAAGTGTAGAATTTTACATTTGTCATTTGTCCTGAAAGATGCAGACTTGACACTACATGTGTGCCCCTTGAACACCCCCATCAGATTGGTGGACTCCATGTCCCATATCCGAGCTGTCTGGTCACCCGAGGCTGTCACCTGGTAATACATGTACCGTATGTACAATTAACTTGATAAGCCTGGTCAATGAACAATCAATACTTACTCTCTACTTCTCTTCTAGAAAATTGCATACATTAACACTTAGTATGTGCATGTCATATACAATTACAGTGGTTTAGATTATCTCCTACACATATACTTAATAAATCATAAATTAATACCAGACCAGATTATTGCCAACATACCATGATGCCTTGGTGAGGTGACCATTCGAGATCAAAGATGGCATTGCCATGTCCTGTCCATTCTGCAGAAAAATAAAATGGACATAATTTGGTTTACTTAGTATTTCCCAAGGATGCTTCCTCAATAGCTCGAGGTTAAAGATGTTCGACTAAGCTGATCCTGATGACATAGCTAAACTCAGAAAACACAAGGTCATGTTTACAACAAGGATTTCTACTTACGTGAAAGCTGGCCATGGCACTTGTCATGCTTTGTACAATAGAGTCGAATGAACCCATCCTCGTCACAGACACACAGTACATGCTCCTGGCCAGGCACTGGAGAAGACATAACAAAAAAGTTGTTAGCACATTTAACGAGAGATCATAGCATTTTACATTCACAATGTATGACAAAGATGCCTTCTTTATTATGTTTGTAAAAAACACACCTGATCTCCAAGCAGGTCATACGGTGGCAGGGGGACGAGTGGTGGGGGGAGAAGAGTTTATTACATTGTATAATGAGAAGACATAATAACTTCAAATCTTGCGAGCAAAAAACGTACCTTTGCAGAAGCCAGCTGCAAATGGAGGACACACCGTCTGTGGAGAGAATAAAAAAAGTAAATACAAATGTAATACCAGTATGTCAAGGAAGCAGAAAATCTACTCCAATTGAAAGCTATATCTGGAATCAATATCAACGTATTTTAATTATCAGCATAAGCAAGTGATAGATAGAATAAAAAAAAAGTCAACCTACTCCATATTCAAATCCATCCATTTCATACTCGTCCCCTCGGGCACACACGAACCCATTGATGACACTGTCCAACTTTCCTCTCGTGGTTCCTGCAATAAGGCATTATCACCCAATGGTAATTTCACTTCAACAGAAAACTATGAGTATGAGCTACCGATAGCACTTATCAAATTATTTACATCATCATGGTGAGGTCGAGTTATCTATCTGGCTATGACCAAATCGGGGAATATTGGCTGTTTAATTCTGCTATAGAGAAAAAAAGATTCTCCAGTGAACATACATACCTACTTATATGACTATATACACAATATTTCATGGTTTAAGGAGCTACAAAGTCCCTGATGAGAGCCCACCTTTCCCGCCATGCTTGTCCGAGGCTCCCCACACCCGACGCTCATGAATAGCAGAAAACAGGCCACTTCTCCTCCCAAACATTGCTGTAGTGGACACAACTCTTCTCTTTCAGACTCCTTGATGCTTTCAGAGCAGCACGGTTAACAAGAATAAGTTCAGTTGCTGAAAAAGAAGACACCGTTTGAACAGCCGCCTGTGCACAATGTTCTGCAGCGTCCTGAATAATTTTTGCGGGAAATGCAGACAAAACACGCGCCAAATCCGCGCCGTTCTGGCATCTGATTGGCTGATAGAGAAAGTCGCTGTTTGATTGGTAAGATTGCTGACCTTTTTGCGATGTAACATTTCTTGCTCTTCATTATAGAAATGCCTAAACAATCTCCTGTTAAAAAGTGTGCAATATAAAACTTTTACTAACACATGAAAATAGTAGGAAAGACAGCGTTGACAGAAAAGGTACTCAATGAACTTTCACCTTTGACCTGAAAACAACGATGGCTTCGGGATCGGCTGGGTCCAAATTTTCTGGACTAGGAGCGGAAAAATATGGGGCAGACCAGGAACAAGATGCAAACTCTGCACTTCTGGAGCTAGATAAAGGTCTGTGCAGTGTAGCTAGACAGTTTGATATAAAATGATAGGTACTTATGGTCCATTTTAGTCTCGTGGAACATGGGGGAGGGGGGTGGAGTGTGTAAGTGACTGACACTAGAAGTTAGAAGTGGCTATCACTTCATATTTACATGGATGGATATTTACAACTGACAGTTGAACTGTGAAGTCGTGCTGTATACTATTACTAGTATCTATTTTGCCCAGTATTTAGTTGCTAAATGTCAAAGAGCTCATCAACCAATGCAATACTGCCCACAAGGTAGTGTTTCACCAAATTGTTTCACCAAAGATTAATTTACCTCATTTGATTTTATTGAAGCCGTCGAAACATCGGGTCCTGTAACTCCTGTTTAAAAGAAAAGCTCTAGAAGAGTAAGATAGACACAGTATGATTAGTGATTTTTTATGAATAAATGTAGGTCTGAGGTCCACCCGTGTTGGAGAGCAGTGTGAGGCCATTGTCCGCTTTCCAAGGCTTTTTGAGAAGTACCCCTTCCCGATCCTCATCAACTCATCCTTCCTGAAGCTCGCAGATGTCTTCAGAATAGGGTAAGTATCTAAGACTTGGAAAGTTCACCAAATAAATCTACTTTTCATAGCTATTGATACATTCAGCAATGCATGTCCAGATAACTAGTATCCTTGTTCATTGCTTTATTGCACTGGTATATGCAGATTTGTCATTCCGTAAACTAGGTCTGTTTTCTTCCCCAAGAAACAACTTTTTGCGTCTGTGTGTCCTACGGGTGACCCAGCAGAGTGAAAAACATCTGGACAAGATTCTGAATGTGGATGAATTCTTGAGGCGTATCTTCTCTGTCATTCACAGCAATGACCCCATCGCCAGGGCACTGACTTTGAGGTGAGGCAATATTGATGTAGAAATCACATCCTGTAGGTCTGTTCTTTGACTCTTAGAGCTTTTGCCATTTGAAAGCAAGACTTATCTGGATTGCCAACAGTGAATGTATGTGTGTGGGTTTTTTCTTATCAAACACAGCCGAAGCAAGATTGTTTTGTGTTGTTCACAGTGAATTGCTGTTATGATATTTACAATCAATTGCAATAAATTGTGCAGGGTTTTGGGCAGCATTGCCTGCATCATCAGTGAAAGGAAGAACACTCATCACAGCATCCGCACCAGTCTGGACTCCCATGATGAAGTGGAGCTGGAGGCAGCAATATTTGCTGCATCTTGTTTTGCAGCTCAGTCCAGGTATTATAAGTTGCAGGGTATTTCTCATATTATAGCTACAAATTCTGAATTAGGATGAAATGTGTGCACTGGCTTAGTATGGAGGGAACAGCAAACATATGTGCCCATTCATTTACTTAGGTTTATTTTATCTACTCACTAGTACATGTCTTGTTGTTCTTTCCTCAGAACATTTGCTGTTGGAATTTGCAACAAGATAGCAGAGATGATTCAAGGTTTGAAAGCTTTCTTTGCATTTACCTCATATTTTTACTCGCAGTAGTTTTATTGATGCTGCTACAAATGTATTATTGCACAAATTTCTAAAAATGTAAATAAAAACATCATTTTCATCATTGACATCTGTCCCTCCCATCGCCACAGGTCTTGCTACTCCAGTTGAGATGAAGCTGAAACTGATCCCCATCTTCCAGCACATGCATCATGATGCCCAGACGGCAGCCAAGGTGCGGCAGCTGTGTGTGGACATGCTGCCCTCCTACCCCGCCCGTGGGTTTGTCATAGTCACCCTCCACACACTCTCACTGCTGTCTGCTAAGACACTGATTGACATCCCACAGCAGGTGAGTCTGCTAACATGTCTTGTTCACTGTCTGTTTTGCAAAAGACGTAGGCTGCAGACATCTGTGCTACTGTATATATGTAGCTTGAGGCTGTAGCAAAATGGCCAGCTCAAACACTGGTAGTGACTAGTGTGTCCCACTGCATATGCTTTGTCAGCTAATCAATGACATGTTTTTGATCATATTCATGTCACAAAGACAGAAGGATCCCACAATGTGCATCTTACTAGTACTTCTTATTCCCTCTTGTCATCTGTAGGTGTTGCCATCAGCATACTTTGTGCAAGACATGATCATACAGGTAATTTTACCAATGCCTGCATTGTTACAGGTTGAGCTGTTATTACATTATCTACAACAAGATCCACGTCGGGCCATAAAGCTGAAGGTGCTGAGTGACCTTCACCTGCTGACCAAGAAGGCCCCTCACATGTGGGCCCAGCACAACCTACAGGTCAGGATGTTATCATGTGATGCTGTCTGTCACAGTCACCTACATCATAGCCTCATGTTTCCACATTGTTGAACATTTGTGTGAAGGAAGTACATATACAATGTCATGTACTCTTGACCCCTTTATGTACCAACAGAAGATCTAAGTTGTTATATTACTCTTGGTTATTTCTCTTAACATGATTTCAAGCATGTGTAGTTTGTTTTAGAAATGTATGAAACACGTAGCACTCTATGGTCCCAATTGATTAACTTACTGGTTTGAAGAATTAGTAATGGCTGTAGTACCAATTAATGACCTCATGTATGTATGATGTGTCTCGGTTCCTCAGGTGCTGTGCAGTTTCATCTCCATCACCCCCTATGACAACCTAAAGCTACGAGCCCTGACAGTCCTGAGTGTGCTGGCAGAGTCTTCACCCCTCATCACCAAAGGTCAGAAGTCTGGGATTGATAGATTATTTTGGACACTAACAGTATGTTGCCTTATTTGATGAAAATATTTCAATATTTCTGGTACTATGGTACAATATTTATTATTGTACAATACTTTTGTAATTACATTTATTACATTTGTAATTGTTTTTCATTCTTCAGAATCATCTTTGATGGAGGTTTGTTTGGAAAACTGTTACCATAGCAACATCGCCATCTCCACAGAGGCATCCACAGTGCTGACCAACCTTGCATGCCAGCTCAGCAAAGGTAGAACTCTGGGTGTTCTATCTGGGTGTTTGTGTATGTTGTATTTTGTTGGAGATATGAGCCTAAGAATGCCCAGTGGCTTATTGCTGAGTAGCAATGTTGATTATTGAAATGACAGCTGTACCTGTTTCAGGTGCCAGTGGAAAGGTCGATGAGGCATTGCTGAACCAATGTGTGGCAGCTGTGGAGTCTCTACTCACTGTTTGTGTGACGGAAACAACAGAACAGCACAAGCTCATGCTCAAGGTACCTGTAGGCTTCTATCTACATATATAGATATAGATACTTCTTGTTATTTCATACATTCAGGGAGAAAATATATTCATAGCATACATGATATGCAGTAATGTCTTTTATGAAATAACAAGAGTTTTCGTTTGTGAAACCCATCAGGGTTTAGTGTAGAATGTGCAGATATGAATTGCTAACAACAGTTGAACTAAGACTGTTGCCGTAGTGATTGTGCAGTGCACAGTGCATTTTGAAACAGAACTGTTTTCTTTCACAGAAATCTCTGGGCTGTGTGAGCTGCCTGTGCAAGAGTTTCCCAACATTGGCCTCTTCACTAGCAGATACCATCTACAGCCTCCTGGATGTGGCTCAAGGTCAGCTCTAGAAATAGAACAGCCTTTCCTGAAATGGTTCAGATGTATAGTTACAGCATAGTTGTGGAAGTTAAGCAATGACAAGAAAGATACATCATGTATTTCAAATACTTCTGTTCGTATTAGCTAGTGATAATTATTGAATTATGAAATATTGTGTAATGAAGGGCAGTACTTAACAATAGATTTTGTTCCCTCAGGAGAGTTCCCCTTGCTGCTGTATCAGGGTCTGGCCGCGGTGGGGAGTAACTGTCCTTCTGGCCTGGAACAACTCAGGTTTGACCTTCTGGACAGATTTCAGGAAGTGTCTGCCATGCCACAGGACAAGCAACAAGACTTCCAGGTAAGTTTTGAATATTAGTTTAAAACAATCAAATTCCTTTGCAGATTTTATTTAACAAAATCTACCAACATGTGGCATCTACTGTCAAAGTCAAACCTTATTGTACTCTTTTATTTTTTTGCAGGTCCTACTGACCTCCCTTGTATTGATGGCATGTCCTGTTCCTCTACCTGGTCACATGACCAAGACTTTGATAGACAGCTTGACCTCTGATCCCAACCACTGGACTGCATTCTGTGTGGCCAGGCAAGCTGCCAGATGGGTAAAAACTACAATGCGATTCTGTACAAATTTTTGGCTATGATAAAAAAGCCTTCGTTGTCTTTGTACTTGCCAGTTTCCTTTCATGGATGATGTACTTCTTTTTGTTTTTCAATAAAAGGCTTTTAAGAACATGACCTTGACAGTAATGTATGGTATGCATCTTCAGGGTCACCACACAGTTGCTGTCAAGCTGCTTCAGCGCCTGCCATCTCTTGTTGCATCAGAGCACCTGCACTTCTGGCTGATATCACTAGGGGAGTTCTGTGCTGGGGAGGAGCAGCTTTCCCACATCCATCCTGACCAGCCTCAACACAAAGGCACAGTGACACTGGCTCAAGCCTGTGGGCACTACCAGAAGGGAACTACTGCTCTCAAGGTAACCTCATCATTATGAATATTAACAGTTCCTTTTACTGTGTCATGTACATTTGACTAAGTGCAGTTTGTACTTCTACAGCATGTTCATACATTTGTCCACAGTAATGTTTTCCAGGGTAGAATCAAGTTGACCAGGCTACCTAATATGCAAAACAAAATGGTTTAGTCGAACCCTTTAATTGAAGCTAAACAAAATCAACTACCAGTGTCTGATAAATCTTGTTATCATTGGAATCATTGGACACAACCCTAAGATAGATGTTGAAAGTGTGTATTGACATGCCTCCTATGCACAACTCCTACCATCCTGTAGGCCTCAGTGACCCCCACCTTCCCGTTGGAGTTCCAGACCCAGTTCAGCCAGCTGCGAGCAGAGCTGCTGCAGGCACACGCCAACCTGCTGGCTGCCTGCTCCACCCTGCAGACCTGCCCGCCCCCAGCCATCGCCACAGCCATGGCCAATGTGTCGGGGAAAGAGATACAGAGAACTGGGAGGATAGGAACTCAGGTAAATTGCTCTGAGCCTTTGAGCATTTCTATTCCAAGCCTACTAGTAATTTTTGTGCAACTTAAAAAGAGAGGCCACCTGCTTTCAAGATCCCACTGATACTTACCTCAATTAGATTGTCTCTGTAGTATACAAACCATACTTTTGTAACTGTTTATTAGAATTTTTCCTAGTGTCTCCACATGAATGCATTATTTATTGTCCAGATCAACAAACTTGTTTTGTCTGTCTTCCACAGTTGCAACAGTGTGTGGCCCAGTTCCGTATGCTTTCAGCCAAATATGGTGATCTCCTGCAGGCTTCTTTTGATGCTGATCTCACAACACTGAAGAGTCTGACACAGTATCCTTTACTAAATCATAAATTCAATGCCATCCTTGTTTATTTCAAACAAGGATGGCATTGAAAACCATGCAGGGATAAGAAACAAAGAATGCAAGATGGCCAAAAAAATAAGTGTACTCACCAGTTCTTTGAACAGATGTGTCCAGTCCTACATGCAAACATTGTTTTGAATATCCTACATAAGTCCCATGTTAAATCTAGCTTTGTAGATATTGGCACTGGTAATATTCATTACATGACTTGCAGGTAGAAGTGGATGTTTCTTTTCCTTATCACATGTACCAGCTTACAACAGGGTTGCCTGCTCATGGCCCATGTTGTGGATGTGTTGGTGTTGCACAACCACCAGTACATGTGAGTTTTTTTCTTGTACAAAGTAGCAGTCTGTTATCTGTTACCCTGTCTTTCAGTGTTTATTTTGTGATATGAAAGATGCTGCTGAAGTTGACATGATGTTCAACATGCCCACAGTTCAGCAGATGTGTACAATATCCAGTGGGATGTTCCAGACTTCAGTAGGGGGGAGTCTGGTGGAGAGGCCCTGCCACCTGTGTTCCAGGATGTGCTGAAAATGGTGCAGAATACCCTGGGGGAGGCCCAGGGCTCAGCTATCACACATGTGGCAAGTTTTTATTTCTCCTGGGGAGGAACTGCTTTGTTTCCTTTATGATTCATAGTACATTTAATTGAAATTCTGAAATTGACTCATCCACTGTCAGGCTAGACTACTAATAAGTGATGTTAGTGGAATACTTGTATTTTGGAAGCCACATAACTGACTTTTTAAAAATATTTTTGACGTTTTACAGCAAGTATCCAGTGTTTTCAAAGCCTCCTGTATGCTGCTCAGGGAACCCCTGCACTTCCCCAGGTACTTTTTCCAGGCACTGCAGTCCACTCAAATCAAGGTTTGTCTACCTCTCTTATGACTTACTTTTCTGACATACACTTAAGCTGGTGTTTCTGTAACCCCCAAAATGATCCATTCATCTATTTACATTACATCTTTACTCCTGCAGCTTGCCCTGTCCCCAAGTCAGCGCAGCATGAATGATCCAGTCCTGGTTGCCACGGATACACAGCTAGCACTGAAGGTAGAGGGAGTGATACAGCACGGGGCCAAACCTGGGCTGTTCAGGGCTGTCAACAAAGTCTGCCTGGATGTGTCATCCAGTTCTGACACAAAGGTTCCACAGGAGCAGAAGGTGATCCTAAATCTTTTATATATTATCATACAGCGGTATCAATCATCTCTGGATGAAGTTGTTTAGAGATTTCTTTTTAGCAATGAGGTGAACCTCATTTTCCATAAGAAAAAGGTTTCCTTCTATGTCGACCTATTAACAAAAATAAATTATACATTTAGAAACAGGCAGTAAGAGTCTCATGTTGCATTTATTCAATACCTCAAGTGGTAAGGAGTAAGGCAGTAATGTACTAAAGTTGATTATATTTTTGTGTGTAACTCAACATTGCCATGTACTCTTCCAGGTCCGAGTGGACAACCTGAACAATGAGCTTCAGGAGCTGGTGGAACCACACAACGATTACTTCAGTGCGCAGTTCCTTCTCCACTTCCCTTTCCCAGGGAACCACACCGTGTGTGCTGAGGCTTCTGTCATAGACACCTCAGGCCTGTCCTGGAAAACTGGCCCCAAAATGACCCTGCTGGTGAGGTCTTTTGACCCCAATGCACCCCAGCCCCCCAGACACCAGCAGCCTCCACCCCCACCCCCAGCTCGCAGCAGCACATCACGTTTCTGAATAGGATAACAAGGGAGTTGTACTTTACAGATAGGACGAGCACTGTTCTGCTATAGCCATCAAAGACTAGAGACGTAGAATGACTACTTCAAACAAGTAAATTTTGTCTGCAGCTCATATTTGTTTAGATCTACATTTATGTTGTATCCATGTATATGCAATAAATCATCTGTAACTCCAAACACAAGTGGACGATTTCATAAAAGCCCTACCAAGTGCACTGTTGAAAAGCTATGATCATTGTTACAATCACATACATCATCAGTCATTCAGGCACCTCTTGGGTCATCATTACATTGGAGTCACACTCCGACTCCAGTTACATCTAATTCTTCTGAATCATGTGGCCTTGGGAATTTTCCACTTGGAGGTTTGCTGCACACACTTCCTTTGCAGCTAATCCATGTTCTCAACTGCAATCTGTAAAGGGACAGAATATAGAAAATGTGGATCAAAAGTGGGTAAATGCTGTTCCAGCAACTGTAGGATGTTGATTCTACCACTTAAGGGTCGAAGAAGAGCAGACATCTTGTATGTGACAGCTAACACTATCAAAGATGTGCTGCAAATACAATTTGCCAAAGGAAGAAGACAATAGACTGTAGACACTTAGCACTAACTTCACACAACTGAACTCACCTCTCCACCCTTGTCAGCCGGTTCATAGCCAAACACCCTGCCCAGGAAGTAGAACTCTCCATCCAGAGCCTTCCTGATGTTTTCTGCCTTCCTGAACCCATGCTGCTCATCTGAAAGAGAATACCAATACTCACCGATCAGTATCTCATCCCTCTCGATTGATGGTGAATTTTGTGGTTTTCTTAAGTGAATTTGGGTATCTGATGTCATCAATAACAGGTTGGTTTGGGCAAGGACGTTCTACCTCTAAGTCTTGTAGAACATCCTTAGTTTGGGCAGATTTCCCAACAGAAAAACAGATCTGACATATTTGCTACCTGTTAGTCTTACAGAAAAGCACAACTGCTAAATGTTTGACAGTTATGTAAAGCATGAGGAAAAGGTGCTACAATGTACTTAAAAGGCTTACCAGGGAAGAGTACAAAGGCACAAGGCAGCCCCTTGTTCTTGACTGCTTCAAACATCATCTCTGCCTGGTTAGGAGGCACAATCTGTGGAAATCACAAACAACCTTTACAAAAATGGGACTTCTCATACATAATTCCAATAACAGATTTAGAGGAACATTTCTCACATACTGACTTACTACACATCCTTAGTCAGTGTCCATCATGTAGAACAGTAACCACCTTAACCATTGTTAAACAGTATCTACATTAGCTTCCACCAACCTTGTCTTCTCCTCCCTGGAACAATGCAATAGGACAGCTCAGTTTGTCCACATGGTTGATTGGGGAGCGGTCTCGGTACGTGTCAATGCACTCAGGATAGGGGCCAATCATAGTGTCATTGTACCGCGACTCAAACTTGTGGCCCTCCTCTTGCAGGGCCACTAAATCCCCAATTCCGTAATGGCTTACTCCTAATTATATAGTACAGTTGGTCAGTATATTTTTAAATATATTTTAAAATATGGCTATCATCAGGATATGAAGACAGTTGCCAGTCACAGTAAGATGTACCACCCCAGCCTTACATACCTTGTCCTCCCCTCCTTGGAACAATGCAATGGGACAGCTCAGCTGGTCCACATGGTTGATGGGAGAACGTTCCTTGTATATGCTCTCCATATCAGGATATGGACCAACAATCGTGTCCAAATACCTGCTCTCAAACTTGTGAGTATCCTTTGCCAAGGCCTCTAAGTCACCAACCCCATAATGGCTTACACCTAATGAGGTAGAAGTGTTGCACATGGTCGTCACATATGGGTGTCAATAAAGTAGCAATACAGATTTGTCAGATCAGTTAGCTTCCACAGCTGAGAGAACAATATTTGTGTGAAAACAAAATACAAATGTTTCTTCATAATCAAATCAGTCAAGAGAAATGCCTGTGATAACATGGTCTGAAGACCAGGTAGGATGCATCTTAACATGAATGACAGCTGCCATATTACAATGTACATGTACATTGTATTACAATTTAACAAACCAAAACAAAAAATATAAGACTGTATACCTTAGTGTATAGATACCAGAACAATATTTGACTTTAAAAGGGAAAATGGTTACATTGTGCAATGTATTGGCTATGTCTGACCTAAGTTTTCGTAAATGCTGTTTTGAGTGCTGCAGCACAGAATGTTTTATTGACAAACGAGAAGAAAGTCGCTACCAGCATGGAAGTCATTCCTGAAGACCAGGGCTGCATTTGTGGTGTAGCCTCCTGCTGACCCTCCATCAATAGCCAGTCTCTTTTTGTCCACCCTGCCCTTGTCTGCCAGATACAGGGCTCCATGGCAACAGTCATGCACATCATGTATACCCCAGCTGGCAATACAAACACAGCATGATAAACCAAGAGAACTGGGCAAGGACACCTTCACCAAATATGAAGACACATACATGTGCATAATCTCTAAGCAGATTTTATCAGGGGCAAGGCACCATTGGCCAGCAGTACCATAGGCCCCCAGAACTAGTGGCCAATTTGATCGTCCTTGCCCTCTTGGAGATTAACAACATACCTTGTTTCTTTATGACCTAAAGGAGTCTATTGTCACATTTTGGTCCTCTCACATGTGTAGGTCACCATTTCTAAGCAAAGGCCCCATCCTTTGCCGTAAAAGTTATAGGAAATCAGCATATACTTTAACGTAGCTACTAGAAATTGGACAATTATTTTATTTTTCACCCTTCTTTCGATCTAATGATGAGGTCAGCATACTTCTTTCTGAGCTTGTTCCTGTATATCTTGCCATAGCCTGTGCTGCCCCTGTAGTTGACATCCAGCAACCCCACCCCACGACTGGTGAAGTACTGTATCTTGAGGTCCAGCGTGCTGGAACAGGCGGATGTCGGACCTCCATGTGCTCGCACCAGCAGCGGGGGGAGGGTTCCCTCTGGTGCTGTGAAGTCCTTGTTGTTGGGTGGGTAGAAGTAGGCATGTGCCACATCTCCCCCCTCAGTAGGAAATGTAATCTGCTCTGGAACGCTCACGTACCCTGTGTCCACAGGGACCTCCTTCGAATTTTTCATGATGTCAGTCTACAAAGTTTCACAATAAGCCAAGTGGTTAGACAGCGGTTAAGCAACAATAGAACATGAAATAACAATAACTTAGCACTTTTAGCTACTTTGCACATGTAATAGTAAAGAGATTGAGTTACAACAATCCATACAGTTATCGATTTAATCTATTTTAGGGGATTATCATACGGTGTACCTACCTTAGATGTGGCATAGTTGACCCTGATGACACAGGGGAACCGTGTTGGGCTGCTGGCTATGCAGTAGGCACATCCCTTCCCACCCATCACCAGACAGCCATGGGTTTTGAACCCAGTCTCCAAATTCTTTTGGTATTTCCCACTCCCCATCTCATAGAAGCCAAGTTCCTACCAAAAAAAAGGAACAAAAGGGGAACAACGTATGGCATTTACAACATGGAAAAACAGTGTTTCTCATGCCATTGTGAAACACTCAAATGGATACTTGTTAGCATGAAGCTACATTGCTGTAAATGTACATCTCAACAAAACTTACACACATACCATGCCATAGGAAGTAATGATCACTCCTTTGTCAGCATCAAAGTCATAAGGGGTGTTTCCAAACTGCCAGTGTGGACCTCCAATCTCCTTCTCCTGGGGTGCTATGGCAACATGGTCACCCGATGGGGTCACATGATACAGGTTCCACCAATCAGAGACATCGCTGATGTAGTACAGGTCTCCACTGGGAGACCATCGTGGATACATGACGCTGATATCATCTCCACCACACACCTAACATAATAGATACTACTAGTATCAGTGACGTTAACAACTGCCAGTGTTTCACAATCATGATACAGTACATGTACTTCTAAACAACTGATCTTGTTCAACTGGCATGAGACATTATAGATGCACTATATCTACATCTGCATCTACATCTACAACAGATTGCATGGTGCATAAAAAGATCAGAACCACCTCTGCCTTACAGCCAGGGCCTGATCCTAATTTCAGCACCATGGACAGGTCAACAATGTATGTTACATGTTAGAGTTTGACGTTAGGAAGGGCATCCAGTCAGTAAAAACCTTGCTTCAAAAAAAGACTTGCACAGGCTTGCTGTTGTGCACCTCAGCATGCTGAGGGGCAAAATGGCAAGCCCAAACATGCACCTGTGCAAGCACGTCTATACCCCCGAAATACGGGGAATCAATAGACGTAAAAAACTTGGATAAGAAGAAGAAGAAGAAGTATGCTAGTAACAATGGTGAGTCCTTGGTGACCAACCTTGTGTGCTTCCATGACACCTCTCGCATCAGGTTTTATGTCAGCCTGCCAAATCTCAGTGGAGTCCCAAGGCTGGAGAGAACACAACACACCAACTTTATTTGATATTACATCAGTTTGTTTGTTGGCAGTTTGTTCATACTTAATCTTTTACATGTAAATAAAGAATATGCCTGAATATCTGGACACGTATAAGCAGATTACGCAATAACCCAATTGTCAGCGTATATTCTTGAACTGACCATGTTGGGATGGTTCCACTGGGTCCAGCATATCTTCTTGCCATCAGGAGAGACACGAGGTGAGGCATAGAAGTCTGACCCTGAGGCCTAGGGGGAAAGGTGACAACAATCTTAGGCTCCTGAGAAGCATAATACATGTATATGGCATCTGTATCAACCATGTCAAACTTTGGGATGAGCCTGCCGGCCTAATGGCAAGTTAGTCCAGAATGACAACCTTAGATCGCTATCCTCTAAAACAACTTGAGGGTCCAACAGGGTTCAACTCTTCCACTGCAGCTAACAAACTATATACATGTCCCAGGAAGTAGATGTAGTCAAATCAGTAATCATGTCACTCAGTCACTGTACAATGTTGTATCTGAACACACATCATTCCATCACACTTGCCCCTCACAGTCCTGTCCTTGGTACTGAATTATCAGTCGGATAAACCAAGTTTCCATCTTCTTTTGACATTTGCTTCCAATACCCTGAATGGAACTACATGCACTAAGAAATTTTAGATTAACTACTAATGTACATCCAGCTCACCAACACAAACTGCTCCTGTGTGTCAGGGTGAATGGCCACTACAGTGTTGACTGCTTCCTTGGCCTCGCCCCTCTTCACAACACCATGGTCCTCACGTACTGCTGTGATGATGTTCAGCTATAACAACAACAACAACAACCAACAACCAATATCTTGCTTGACCAATAGTCTCTGACAAAGGCTTTTCTCACTGCTATGCAAATGAATTCTTACAAGATAAACAAGCATTGAACCTAACAAGGCTTTCAAGTGCAAAGAAGTTAATGAATGTAAGATAGGGTTAAGTTACAGTGGTTATTATATCATGATTATGATAGGACTAACATAGAGATGTGTGCTACTGACAATACCTTCTCACAGAACTCTCCATCTGCAAACCTCCAGCCTGAGTCAGCAGGAGTGATGGGCTCGGGAGCAGCATCAGGAGAAGTCTGTCTGTACAGACGTTGGTCCGTGAAGTTGGAGAAGTACACCACTCCACCGTGTACAAACATGGCTCCTCCGCCGTACTCGTGTACCAGGGTGCGTGCGTTGAAGCCCTCTGGTGTCCACTCTGTGGGCTGAGAGTCGCCGTCCTTCGAGCACACGACATACCGACCACCTTCAGCTGGACGCAGCTCCGACCAGTACACCCTCGTCTGATGAAAACAACATCCAGCCAAAATAAATGATGGCACCCGCCTTTAAAAAGTTAACAGTATATTTTGCCTATAGTGTTGTTCTTTCAAACATCAAATACGTCTCTTGGCCCGCTTACCTTATCTAACAGATAATAATCTTCAAATTGGCAAGATAATAAATATCATTGGCTGGTCAGTATCGATAAGGCACCGTTTGGCTGGCAAAAAAAAGATACCAATACCAATAACTTAAGCCCAAAAAACCTCCCAAAACACGTAAGAATAAGCCAAAGCCTACACCCCTGCTCTGATTTGGACTGGCCAACACCTGCACAACTTTCTAGAGAAAGAATGTGAGAGGCCACGCCCCCTAATTTGCATCTTACTCTTCCTCTGAAAGTGAAAGTAATTGGTAACGGTAATCTAATTTTCATATTTCATTCAACCGAGGTCAATGTTGGCCTAGCAATATGTATATTATTCTGTACCTACAAAGACTTCGTTGTAAAGTATGTGGCCTGACCATGTCGACCTGCATGAGCAAAAATTATACTGGCTCATCCGCAACGTCACAATCTCAGCTACAAAGAGGACTCAAACCTTGTAGAATGCGAAGATGATTTACCTGGGTGTTTCCCAGACTTGTCCACCCGTACGTCTGACAGACGGATGCCGCTCTCCGCCACCAGAGCGCTGGAGATGGGAGACTTCCACGAGCCGTACGTACTACAGGTCGCCATGCTGCGATCAGCTGACCGGAGCCTGCTCAGCTGGGACTGTTCACTGCACACAATGTAACGTGCTCTCACGAAGTACGAAAAGATGGGAAATGGTCCGCATGCTAAACCTAGAAACAGCCGATTTAATCAACATCTTCGAAGCCACTTTTGTTCCATGAAGATGTTTTCACAAACTCTTAAGTATTCCGTGTATTTTACAGGCACTACAAAAGTCTTAGACAGCCCTACTTAAGGTCAAAGGTAACGTGGATCGTGAGTTAGGAGCTAACGCATGTTACTTGGGTAAGGTCGAGCTCGAGTTGTGTTTTCATCCCCAATAACGAAGTTCCGACAAGTCGTTGAATCTGAAATAGAATCTTTAACGTTGACAGGTAGCAGATAATTGATTTTGCGTTATCAATAATTTGGGCATTGTGCATCTAAAGTATGTGAGAAGACTGGTGACAGGCTATAATTTTTTTTATGGCTAACCCATGTAGTTACTGGACATGTGCATGTCCTCAGGTAGCAAACTGTGATAGAGAAAATGATAGAGAAAATCATTGTTCAGACAGAACCAAATATGGATGTTCTTGCTGATGTAAGAATGTTATTACTAGTAATGTTAACATTATCATCAACATCGTTATTCATTTGTTTATTATTGTATTGGTTGTGTATCATGAATAGTTGAAATTACTTTGAACATAATATAACACTTTACCCTCCATGTGAGTTCTACCCTCCATTTTTTTTTACCCATACATTGAAAATTAGCCATATGTCCGAGCAAGTTATTGTGAATAACTAAGGGCTTTGATGATGGCTTTGAGTAACACAGTATGCTGTATTGCAGACTCCTGGTCGTATATGTGGGGCTGCAAGGGGGGGGGGGGTCCCGACAACGCTCTACGCTGAATTTGGAAACCTCTCGATTACGCTTTACGATAAATTCCAAGTGGCTACAATGCATTACGTACAATTAAAACACTCTACGCAAAATACGCCATTACGATCCATGTTGAATTAGAGCGGCCCGTCTACGCTCTACGTAGAATTCAAACGGCCGATTACGCTCTACAGAAAAGGGCTTGCGGGCCCCCGTTTATGATCATTCACGATTGTGGGCATTCAAGAGAAAAAGGAGAAAAAAAAGGAGAAAAAGACTCAGCAGTCACTGCATATTAGGCGATTTGATATGATCATTTATGAGATTCCTTAAACATCTGTGTTGTCTTGTCCCTTTGCATCATCTCTAGTACAGTGCTCCCAGTATTACTATCACCATGTTCCATCACCTGGCCTCGGTGCTGAGTGTGAGAGCTGTTGAACCAGACACCCCCCCAGAGGAAGGTACAGACCCCCCCGAGGAGACCCGTCCACAGTACAGGAGAATTCCCCGGGACCCCGCCATGCTGAGTCAGTACCCCCCCACCAAGATCCCCTGGCTGTCCTCCTCACCAGAAGCCATGGGGCTGGGCAAACGGGGCAGCATGCAAACGTACTTAGAGGAATGTCAATCATGCAGGTACATTCATTACTAGTACATTATGTATGCAGTTAACAATATTCAAGAAATTTTATAACCTTTGTACCAATAGAAAAGGAAACTGGGGCTTGTGTCAGCATTTATCAACTGAAACTTAGTGAAGATAGTCCAGATAGCATATATTATTTCCCATCCCAGTTTTGAAAAGTAATGTTACCTAACTTACAGTTTTCATCACTACAGTGTACTTTCTCACACCAAGTTTTTGTTTCCTTCTGACAGGTGGATCTCAGGCCTGACATTTATTGGTGCAGGGGTTTATGTCTACATGAGTAGCAGAGCCCGTTTACGCTACACTCGCAGCACTGGTCCGCTGTTCAGGATCTTCTTTGGTTTATGTGAGTTACGATGATACTTCAGTTAAGTGAGTTATGAATATTAGAAACCATGTTCATTAATAGTGGGAGAACCAATACTTATAAAGGACATTTTTGTTTGATAATCTATTATAACTTGTTTTCTTTTTCAAATCAGGTAAGCCTTTGAAAAGTAATGACTGATTTGATTAGTGTTTCATGTATTGCTTTAAAACTTTATTACAGTGATGTTTGATTTTGCAGGTCTGGGTGTTGCCGGTGTTACCATCCTTGTGGACCCACAGAAGAAGATCCAGGATGACTGGTTAAGGAAATATGAAGAACGGCAGCGCAGACTGAAAATGAGGCAGGAACAGTCCATCGCCAAGATGGAAAAGGAGGAGGAGGCTGCATTAAATGATGCTAATGGGAGCGTGCAGAAATGACAAGACATTCTCTGATACTACAAGTAGTAGTAACTGTTACATGTATACAAAATTTCAACAGAGGGCACTTGTGCTACATGACAGGGCAATTTTCAGCTGATTAGTCTGCTAGAATAGAGGAGCCAATAAGCAAAAACAGATGACATGTTTTCTGGTCATGAATATGAATGTGATAATGTACTACTGGTACAAAAGGGGAAGTCTGCAACATTTTGTAATCACTAGGGCTGCTCTGTCATCATGTTGTTTTTCTCACTAGTTTGGTATGCTGCCATCGTGCATGTGTACTAAACAGGTTTTACAGAATAAGTATTCAAGGAAAGTTTTTGGGCTTTAAAAAGAATCAAATCTTCTGTGTCTTTTGATTTGAAAAATTTTACCTTTCTCTAAATTCTACTTACCTAATGTCGCATACACATTCTAGTCCTACTGTAACGTTAACAGTTAACTACTGTTACTTTGTGAAGTATACCAAATTCCAGAAAAATTCTCTTCAGAAGAGAAAGCTGTAATATTACAAGACAAAATCCACTATTAAGATCCTAAGAATTTAGGAAGTGATGATGATGATTTCACAAAGCATACTGTGTTGAACATAATGAATCCTGCTCATTTTTTGTACACTGTTCCAGTGCCATTGACAAGGCTGTATATCATGTGTACATGATGAACATTAATTAAAAGGTTTTTGTGGAATAACATCATATAACATGAATTTGTTAATTGCATTGCTTCAACAGTTGCCATCATTCTATGTCTACAATGCTCAGCAATGCCTGGCAAATTATTGTCCAAGTCGTGCTCTGGTTGTCCTGTTACCGAAATTACCCAAGCGGTTTAATTTATCTTTATTGAGTTAGCGCGACATAGTGAGAAATGGTGTACGTACGACTCCTCGCGATTATAGTCAGTACTGCAGATATGGCGCTACTGCGTGCATACTCTGACCCCTGACCCTGGAAGTTTTTATTCAGTCAGCTGGGCTGGGTGACAGATGCAATGTCCTATGTCTACAGACATCGCATAGTTTTGTGCGCTGGGAGAATATGAAAGGCATCCGCGCTGGTTTAAATACCGGTTCGGTCTGGTGCCTTCTCAGACTGATAAGCAGTGTCTTCTTGTTCCGGCCCGTCTGAAGTACTGGTCGTAATGTAAGTAAAACGTTAACGTATTTTAATATTAGTGGGAGGTAGAGTAGTTTTGACGTCTATGTATTAATTCAGTGACAAGATATCATTTCCATGTGCTTGTAACCTCGTCGTTTGTGATATGGTAACGTTAACGTTATACACTGAGATTGCTGCCTTTCTTCCTACGCCACATCTCGTCGAAGGAAGTCTACGTTCATCAGTGAGTAACATTATACCGCGGTAGTAAATAAATGAATGTTGCCAGGAACGGAATTTCCGAAGAGTCCGATGTTATCATCATCAAATATAACATTAATTTTGATTTGTACAAAAATCAAAGTCAATGTCAGACAGGACAAATTCTGCTCATCTTGTTGACCTTGGCTATTTATATAACTGTAGATTGATGTACACGTGATGAATGACTGTTTCAGGATGAACACAGAGTTCGTGCTGTTGCACGATCGCCGGGATTTGACCCAGTGCTGTGTTGAGCTGCTTAACAGTGAGTGGCCCAGGAGCCAGGCACTCAGGTACCAACCGGATACAACCATAGTTCTGCTTCATCATTGCTATCACACTATAGTTTGATACCAGTTCAACTTTTTAAATAAAGAATGATGGAGAAAATTATGGAAAGAACAAGCTTGTTGAAGTGCTTTTGTCCCAAACGTGTTGAAATAATGTTGATCTATACTACAGAACTGACCAATCTCTGTCCCATCTTTCTTTAGGGAGCGTAATCTAGAAAAGTCCAGTAATGACCTGCCATGTAGTATTGTGATGCTGGAGAGAAGCAGATCAGGCAAGGAGAAAGTTGTGGGCTACTGTAAGATCAGCAGGGTACTGGGCATGGCAGACAGCGTTGTGGTGGAGTCAGGTAAGACAGCATGGTGGTGTAAAGGCAGTACAAGAACGTTATTCCGTCAAGTTCAGAGGACTTAGGTCCAGGAGGTGTTCCTGTTAGGAATATTGTTACTGATACTGGCACTGGACAAGGACAATGTACAAATTCTACAATTCTATGTACATGTATAACGTTAAAGATTTTAAGTTCATACCTCAATTGCCATGAAATCTCAAATTGCACTTTTACTTCAATAAAGAATGGTCCAAACAAAGTTCTAGGACTTAATTCTCATGTGTTCCTTAAGATGACTAACTTTGATTATCTATGTTTGTATTCATAGTTGTGGTGTCTATAGAGAACAGAGGGCATGGTCTGGGGAGGAGACTCATGGAGAACATGGAGGATATAGCAAAGAGGTGGGTCAGGCGACACTGCTCTTTAATAGATTGATAATGGTCTTTCTAACATCAGAGCGTGCCTTGTTGTTCAAACAGTCCAAACAATACAAGTAAAAAGCATTGGTCCTGAACAAGACCTAGAAGGCTGCATGTGTGCTATTTCTGGCGATGGTTCAGTGACATGTGGTTACATCTGTGTGTGACCGTTAATGCAGATAGCCACACCCATATCACATGTTGGGTGTACTGACATCTAGGTCATGTCCAGTACACTGGAGCAGCAGCTGTTTCTGGCTGACATTTTAGACAACTGAAGTCTTTATTTAGAAACATCAAAAACCGTAAATTGATAAGATCATATGCATTCAGTCCTATGCATTACATACAGTATTGATGATGATGATTGACAAATGTCATTATCAAATTTTTTTTTCCACAGATTTGGTTTCAAGAGGGTGTACCTGTCCACCCATGATAAACAGGGCTTTTATGAACATCTAGGTTACAATTACAGCAAGTCTGTGTCAGCAGTCAAACCCTGCTCAGTCAAGATCAATGAACGTCTGGTAAGTAACCCCTTTTACCTTGAGGTAGAAGTCTCAGTACAGTGTTTTTTATGACCTGTTCTCAGTGTGAGCCAGCATTTAGTGGCAGAAACATTTTACTCTGTTCAAAATTAGAATTTTAAAAGCACTGAATACATTATTAGATCTGATGCCATTAGTACCTTTTTACATATTACCACTTCCTACTCAGTTTTCCTTATTATTACCTTCGCCAAGAAGGTTATGTTTTCAGAGGCGTTCGTGTATGTGTGTGTGTGTCTGTAAACACGATAACTTGAGAAGGCCTTGAGGGATTGTCTTGATACTTGGTAGGTGGGTAGGTCTTGATGAGACCTCAAAATGATTAGTATTTGGACCCCTAGTGTCTTGTTATGGTACTGCAGCTGAACTTCCAGTTTTCATATCTCATGATCTAGACATGCTAGGGTGACGAAATTTGCATGGTAGGTAGCTCTTGTGCTGGGAAAGAAGTGACGTAAGTTTGGGCCCCCTAGCGGCTTGCTCTGGAACTGCAGGGCTAAATGTTTGAAAATATTCAAAAGAGGATAACTCAAGAACCGGTTGACGGATCGTCATGATTTTTGGTATGTTGGTAGCTTACGTGATGCTTGATATAATTATGTGACAATTATGCAAATCTGGATGTAATTTGCATAATTTATGGGGAAATTCTATAAATCAGCTGTATTCCATGATAGGACTATTGTATCTTGTGAAATTGGTAATTGAGAACGAGAGAAACACAGACAAATATTCATTATGTAAATGAAGACCTAATTGCATAATTAATGAGAAAATTTCATAATTATGTAATGATAAGTGCCTGGAATTTTATACTTGTGGTATTTGAAAGATCTGGACATGCTAGGGCCACAAAATTTGGATGGTAGGTAGGTCTTGTGCTGGGGAAGAAGTGGCATAGGTTTGGGCCCCCTAGCGGCTTGCTCAGGAACTTCAGGGGCATTTCTTTGAAAACATTCAAAAGAGGATAACTCAAGAACCGATGGACATATCGTCGTGATTTTTGGTATGTAGTTAGCTTAAGTGACGCTTGACATAATTATGTGGCAATTATGCAAATCTGGATGTAATTTGCATAATTAATGAGAAAATTATATAAATCAGCTGCATTACATTATAGGATTATTCAAGCTTGTGACATATGTAATTGAGAACAAAAGAAACACAGGCAGATATTGATTATGTAAATTAACACTTAATTTGCATAATTAATGAGAAAATGTTATAATTCCATAATGGTAACTGCCTGGAATTTCATACTGGGGGTATTTGAATTTAAGTTAAGTGAAGGTGAACATCATTAAACATAACGTAGTCAAATAAGGACCTCATTTGCATAATTTATGACAAAATGATAGAATGCCTTTGTTAAGATAAGGTTGTCTTTTGATGGAGAATATGATCAACTAATATAATTCATGTAAATGAGGATCCTATTTGCATAATCAGGAGGAATAATCTTTACTTTGTCAGTCATAAAGATTGACATCATTAGGCAAAGGTATGAGATCGTGGAACTCTAGTTTAATATATAGAATGATGTGCCAAATACCAATCAGTACCAAGGACAGCCTTGTTGATATAGTACCACTCTGGCCTCCATCACCTCCAAACTTCTGACCCCTACCTTTTGTACCCATGAGCAGCTGAAGAAGCTTGATGCCAGTATTCTACCCAACTTCAGCAAGACTACCCTGGACCTGCAGCTAAACGGCCCAGCAGTGAACAGTTCTGAAGCACAAAGTGATGATGTATTTTGTGAGGACTCTGTCAATGGACAGACCAGGGACAAGTTGACTGATCCTCCCACCAATGGTGTGAAGGACATGTCTATATCAGCTGCTCAAATACCCCCTTCCTCTGGAAACATACCCCCACCTCCTCCACCCCATGGAAACATACCCCCTCCTCCACCACCCCCA